ACTAAGGTCATCAGGTGTGTAGGAAGTTTCAAAGTAATTTTGAAATTTTTGAATTTCCTTGATGTGAGTCGAAGTACCTTTCTTGGTTATGTCATGTATAAGAGCAAAAGAATATTTTAAATGTTGATTGAATGCATTGATATTGAACATTTTTGTAGAATAATATTGTTTCCACCAAGTGTCATATTCTTGGGAACAAAAGTAAGAAGGTACGAAAGGAATAGGAATGAGTTGAGTAGTGCCATTGTACTGTGACATTTCGTCTTTGCTTTGAGTTTCAGTAAAGTACGTGTTGTAGAGAATGACATAGGCTTTCTTTGGAAAAAGAGGCTTGGGTAAGATCTGGATAATATAAAACTGTCGAGAGACAAGATTTGGTTGGTTGCGGCGGAGGATTACTTGATTTTTTGAAGGTCGAAGTTTTGTTGCGATTAGCCTGGGCGAAAGAAATGCCTCCCATATGGCGAAGGATTCTGCTTCTTGATATTTTGACATGGGATGAAATTTTCTGGTGAACCATTTTGGGCCATGAGTCCTTTTGGCGAAGGGAGCCATATAAGAAGTAAAATGGCAGCGCTTAGCATACATCATTAAATACTCATTGAAAGCACTATGAAGATTTATGCCTTCTTCACTAGGAATCAATTGGACGAGGCGTGTCCCTTCGACCCGCCTGTTCTTGATCTCGTAGGTTCTTCTTTGAATGTGTTACGAATCAATAATGAGGGTTCGAAGGTGGCATTAAGACACAACTGAAGTATCCAGAATGGACCAGCTAGGTTTAAGGAGTTCCACGCCTTATCTTAAAGATTCATACATGCAACCTAGCCATTATCAGAAACCTTTTCGCTACTTGTAACGACCTCGAGAAAAAAAATGAAGCAGGACAACCAAAGAGCAAGGAAAGCAATATGTTCCTTATCAGATACTGATTTAGTGTCTTTCTTATAATGGTCAGAGATATAGTGGGTGAAAGTGGATCGATTGTCATCGAAGCGTATAGTGTCTTCAGTCATTTGGTTTGGATCAAAGGATTCTCCAGTTGGTCGAAGAACGGTAATTGCAGCAATATCGAAAATGTCGGATTAACATTCTGCAAGGGAAATGAAAATTGTTGTGTGTGCTATCCTAGAAATACAGAGAGCTTAGCAACATAGTATGGCAGTAACCTGGTTCAGATTTCGACAGTTGAATCATATCGAAAATTTCCATATCTTTCCAAAATTTAGTTTTCTTTTTTCTTATTTTTGCCAGCCAAGACATATAATTCTCAGGATCTTTTGAATAGAGACAAAAATGAAATGCTTTAAGAGCGTTGCTCATGTAATCTAGGTTAATGGGTCTTTCTACAAGCTCAATCGAAGACGTTGCCTGAGTATCAGCTACCTTAGTTGGTTCAATATTCACAACTTCAATACTATCCTTAGATCTTTTCCTACAATTTGATAAATGTGTCTTTTTTCCAGAAACTAAAATAGAAATAAGTACCTGAGATTGATAAATGCGCCTTTTTTCTTCTTCAAGGGGAGGTTATGGGAAATATTGTTGATTTTCCACAATTTGAGGACCTAAAATTTTGTGAACAAGAGGGAGAGCTGGCTGTTTTTTGGAATCCTTAGGGTTCTTGATCATGGACTCCATTCATGATGAGGTTGACAGAAATTTAAGTTTTTCTTGAAATTTTCTTAGAAGAAGATGAATGAGTGTTCTTGCATTCTAGAGAAAAGAAAAAAGTTCAGGAGAGTGAGAAAGTGAAAAAAGAAATAAAGTGAAGTATTTATAGTGGAGTGAGGGAAACGTTTCATTTCAACCACTATGAGCAATTATTAGGATCGTGGGACACGTGTGGACTAGGTATGGACTGAATAAACGGTTGCAGTTGGCATAGTCCACTATCTCCTACGAAATAGGAGTGTGATTATTATATTTATGGTTTCTACACGTCTTGATGAGACGTCCTAAGCGGTGTGGTCATGATGACCATGACGTCACTGCAGTAAAGATGCAGTAGCATCGAAAAAGCTTCAAAAAATATATTTTTCTCTTCATATCTTTTTCGACGCATGTGAAAATTTGAAATGAGTTACTAGATTTTGAAGAGTTATTCCGAGAAAGGATACATTATTTTCAATAGAAAAATATTGAGTACTTAGTCGAAGAGACATTTGCATACAGGACGCTAGGTCGAGGACTTAGAAATAAATTTGACCTAGATTGGAGTTCGAAGAAGCTTACCTGAAGAAGCGCTCGACATGTGCAATTCAAATTTGAGGCTAATAATTTTATTCGTTTTCAAGACACATGGAGAGCTTTGGACAGCGAAATACATGCAGATTTAAGACGTGACGTTTTTTTGGCGAAAATACCGATAGATAGCGGTTATTTTTGAGTTAGTATAAATAGAGTCTTAGCAGTTAGGATTCGAGGGTGTTCAACTTGTACAAAAAATTCTAAATTTACTCCAAGTACCTGTATGTGAGAAACGAATGTTCTTGAGTGAAAATGTACGTATGAACATCATATTTTACACTTTTTACCATATTATTTAAGATTCTTCTTATAATTTATATTTGATACAATTTAAGATCTTGTCTATTACTTTAAAACCATTTACTCTTCTACATTTCTTTAAAGAATTCTAACGTTCCTTTAACAACTTTTAAGAACATTGTCGAAATGTTCATACTTAATAAACCAAGAAATTAAATAACAACACATGTCTTAGGATCAATCTAGTCAATCCTGTAAGTAACCAAAGATTTAATAAATTTAGAAGACTAGCGGTTGTTTATCAATTTCGACGGTAAACACTGGACTATTAAGTAAAATATAACAAAATAAATAAAAAAAACCTAAATCGTAATTAGCTTTGGGTTTGAGTCACAAAACTCAATTTGTATTATATATAATATCTCAACATAATATATATTTATACTTATATGAATTATACACATTAAGGTAATATAATCAATACTATTTATATAACATTAATATTAATCAATTCTAATTTGATCAAGTGCAACACAAGTGAGAGAGACAAAACATATTTATCCAAAACTTTAAGGTGATGAGTGTATTGGCTCTGCCACTTATAAATGTTCAAATCTGCACATTATAACCAATGTGGGACTTCAACTCACACTTGTTATATTATTCTCAATACTCCTCCTCAGGTGTGAGTCCATAATGCTCTCTCTCATATGGAAACTCTTTTGTCCACATATATTTGTATCGTAGTTAACCAAAAGCTCTGATACCATTTGTTAGGGGAGCTTTTTACTAGGGAGTATTGAACATTGGGTCAAGAGCAACACAAGTGAGAGAGACACCACATATTCACCAAAAACCTTAAAATGACGGGTGTATGGGTTCTCCCACTTATAAATGTTCAACTCTCCACATTATAACCAATGTGAGACTCCAACTCACACTTATTATATTATTCTCAACATATATTTTATTATTTAATATCTAAAAATTATTAATGTAGAAGTAAAAATAATTAATATATTATAAACTAAACAAGTGGTTAACAATATAAATTCTTTTGGTAAATGCTAAAATGAAATTGATTCATAGCACAATTTTATACTTGTGTTATAAAGTCATCTTAAATTTTTCTTTTATAAATAATTTTTTATTTTTTAAAAATTATAAAAAGAAAAACATTATCAGGTTTGCTATTCCTACACTCTTTCTTACACCTTACACTCAATGTACTGTTTATAAATATATGAAAAAAAATGCTTAGAACATGGTTAATGATATGCATTTTATTGGTTAATGAAGTAGTGAAATTGGTTAATAATTTGTAGGTAAAATAATTGGTTAATGATGTAGATTTTTGTGGTTAATGCAACTGTGAAGTTGGTTAATGCGTAATCTTATATTTGTGTTATAAAATAAATTTTAAAAATAAATATATTTTTTTAAAAAAATTAATATTTTTAAAAAATATATTATTTTAATTAAAAAAGCACTGTTCATCGTATAAATACGATGAACAATGCATACGGTGTATGTATGGGGTGTAAGATTAGGTGTCAAGATAGCATTTTTCAAACATTATTTAGGGTATAAATACGAGACGTAGGTGTATAAATGAAATTCAGGGAATAAGGTCAAGGATTTAGTATATAGTCTAAGTGATGGTGTCAAAAAGTCTACTTATTCATTTTAAGTCTTCTTTTTTTCTCGCCACTCATTCGTAATTTCTCACTCTTTTTGTCTTATTTCTTTTCTACCTTTCGGAAATATATGGTTTGTTTCTACCCATAATTATGTGATTCCAAATGCTTTTTAAAGACATCTTTTTTAAATGAAAAATACTATTCCTACACCCTTTTCTACACCCAATACTTACACCGTATACACTATTCACCGTATTTATACGGTGAACAGTATTTTTTTAATTAAAATAATATATATTTTTAAAATATTAATTTTTTTAAAAAAATATTTATTTTTAAAATTTATTTTATAACACAAATATAAGATTGCGCATTAACCAACTTCACAATTGCATTAACCACAAAAATTTACATTATTAACCAATTATTTTACCTATAATTTATTAACCACTTTCGCTACTTCATTAACCAATAAAATACACACTATTAACCATGTTCTGGGGAATTTGTTCAAGTATTTGTGAACAGTAATTGAGGTGTAGGGTGTAGAAATGGGTGTCAACATAACAATCCTGTTTTCAAATTAGTCGATCTCATGACTAGTCTATAGAAGTTTTCAAAAACTATTTGATATAACAAAAACGACCGCTACAAAAAGTATTGGAAAATACCGATACTGATAGCATTATTTATGGTTTTTATGATATAGAATGAGTCGCGGTTAATACACACATTATTAAAATCCGAAAGTTTTTTCATTGTTGTTTAAAACCTTGGGTTATAGTGTTATTTCTTAGAAATTTCCATTGTTATACACCAAACATCAACAATAAAACAATCTACCTTCCTTCCCTATCTTATTATACAACCATGGCAAACTCCATAAACAAAAAAGTTAACACTAAAATTACCCTATTGTCTTTCTTTATGCTATTATGTCTTCTAGTTGCTAACTCATACAACCCAGATTACAATATAGCCATCAATTGTGGTTCTTCAACAACCACTATTGCTTTAGACAATCGAGTTTGGGTTGGTGATAATTTTCATAACTCCAGTATCTTTTCAATCATTGAACCAAAATCCACAAACCTGTCTCTTACATCACAACCTAATTCCATTTCAAATACCGAAATTCCATACACAACAGCACGTATATCTCTCTCGAATTTCACATACTCATTTTCTAGCATCACTAGTTCCCCAGTTTTTATTCGCCTTCATTTTTATCCAACAACTTATCAACAGTTTGAACCTTCTAATGCACTTTTCTCTGTCAAAGTAAACAACAACATTACCCTTCTTAACAACTTCAACGCTTCACTTTGGCTTCGCAATGATGATGATGAGGAAAAAATCACCAAAGAATATTGCATCCAAATCAAACCCAATGAGAAGCTAGACATAACTTTCATTCCAAACAACATAAACCAATCAAATGTTTATTATGCTTTCATTAACGCAATCGAAGTTGTGTCTATGCCTTCTTTTCTCTATTACACTGATCTCAATGATACAAACTATCATTTCAACTTACTTGGCTTTGACGACAGTGCTAGCGATTACCACATTCATAACGACAAAGCTTTGGAGATGGTTTATAGAGTCAACGTTGGTGGTAATCAAGTTCCAGCATATGATGATACAGGCATGTTTCGTAATTGGGAGGGTGATATTCCTTACCTGGAGAAACAATATCCACAGAGTGTATCAACTGATTTCAGCCATCATCTCAACTATGCAAACAATACCTTTCCAAATTATACTGCACCAGAAATTGTATACTTAACTGCAAGAAGTTATGGAATGGATGCGACAGAGGATTATAATGTAACATGGAATTTTGAAGTTGATTCTGCTTTTACTTATATGGTAAGGTTACATTTTTGTGAGTTTGATTATCATATCAAGAATAAAGAGGATAGAGTTTTTCAGATTTTTATAAATGATATTTTGACTGAAGGAAGTGTTGATGTGATAAAGTGGAGTAGTGCTCGTATGGTTCCGGTTCATAGAGATTATGCTGTTCATATGTACTCTCGTGAAGGAAACTCTCAATTTGAAAGTTTTAATCTTTCAATCAAACTTCAACGAGTACCCGAAACTACCTACACGAAATACTGGGATGTCCAACTGAACGGAATTGAGATTTTGAAAATAAGTGACAAAAATAACAATCTTGCAGGATCTAATCTTGCAGGATCTATTATACTAAAATCCACAGGTATATCAAAAAAGCATAAGTCCCACAAAGCTCTTGTTATTGTAGTTGTCATTGTTTTAGGCCTTGTTCTAGTAATTGTTGTGGTTATCACAATATTTTGGCAGAGGAAAAGGTTTCAAAATTTCACGAAAGATAACTTATCAAATACAAAGAATGAAGGGTCATCATCAGTGCCGCCTCATTTGTGCCGTTACTTTACAATTGCAGACATCAAAGCGGCCAGAAAAAACTTTGATGATGCTTTTATCATCGGTGTTGGAGGGTTTGGCAATGTGTACAAAGGTTTTATAGACGGATCCACACCTGTTGCGATAAAGCGCCTTAAACAAGGATCTCAACAAGGTGCCAACGAGTTCATTAACGAGATCGAGTTGCTCTCCCAACTTCGCCACATTCACTTAGTATCCCTTGTTGGGTACTGCAACGATGACGCAGAGATGATTCTTGTTTATGAGTTTATGCAACACGGCACTCTCGGTGAGTATCTGTATGGTTCCAATAAGCAGCCCCTACCGTGGAAGCAGAGGCTTGAGATTTTATTGGGTGCTGCCAAAGGGCTACACTATCTTCATGCAGAGGTGAAGAATAAGATAATACACCGAGATGTAAAAAGTACAAACATATTGTTGGATGAGAAATGGGTGGCTAAAGTTTCAGACTTCGGATTATCCAAGGTGGGACCTTCAGGGATATCGACTACCCACGTCAGCACAATGGTGAAGGGCAGCCATGGATATTTGGACCCTGAATACTATATGCTTCATAGACTGACTCCAAAGTCTGATGTGTACTCGTTCGGGGTGGTGCTTCTTGAGGTCTTGTGTGCTAGGCCACCTCTGGTTCGCGATTTGGATAGAAAGACAGCCAGTTTAGTTTGTTGGTTTCAAAGTTGTTTCGGCGAAGGTGTGGCTATAGAACAAATAGTGGATCCATTCCTGAGGGATTCTATCACGGGCGATTGTTTGAAATGTTACTGCGAGTTGGCATTGAGTTGTTTGCATGAAGACGGGACTCAACGACCAACAATGAATCAAGTTGTTGAGGATTTAGAGTTTGCATTGCATTTGGCTGGGAGTGAAGAAAGTAGCAAGTTTGATAAAGCTCCAAAGGATGGAACACGTATGAAAGGACTGCAATTTTCACAATTTATAACTGATGAAGTGAGTGATGTACATTTCAAAAAATCTCACTCCTACAAGGAGAGCACAAGCTCTGCTAGGCCAAATACTCAGGAACATTCTTTTTTTGAGATTGAAAATCCAAGACTGCGATCGTATTCATGTAAAAACCTTAAAGTTTATATTTAGCAATTGTTATGCAATATCACTTTATATATAAAAATACTCTTTAACATACCACATCAAAAGAAAAGAACTCTTGGAAGATGAGGCTTAGATGTTTGTGTTGTTTGCATCACTTCAAATTGATTATGAAGCAGTACGCGTGGAACTACCAGTTGTTCGGAAATTTTCAGAGGTCTTTCTGGACGAAATGAGTGACTTATCTCCTGAGCGTGAGGTAGAGTTTACTATTGATGTGATATCGGGAACTAGTCCATTGTCGATGGCTCCTTATCGGATGTCTGCATCTGAGTTAGGAGAATTGAAGAAACAGTTGAAAGATTTGCTTGAGAAGAAGTTTATTCGACCGAGTGTTTCTCCGTGGGGTGTTCCTGTGTTGTTGGTGAAGAAGAAAGATGGTAGTATGAGATTGTGTGTGGATTATCAGCAGTTGAATAAGTTACCGATTAAGAATAAGTATCCACTTCCGAGAATTGATGATTTGATGGATCAATTGGTGGGTGCTTGTGTGTTTAGCAAGATTGATTTGAGGTCTGGTTATCATCAGATTCGCGTTAAGCTTGATGATATTCCGAAGACAGCTTTTAGGACGAGGTATGGACACTATGAGTATACCGTGGTGCCGTTTGGTGTGTCTAATGCACCTGGTGTATTCATGGAGTATATGAATAGGATCTTTCATCCTTATTTGGATCAGTTTGTGTTAGTGTTCATTGATGATATCTTGATATATTCTAAATCCGAGGAAGAGCATGCGCAACATCTAAGAGTGGTATTGCAGGTCTTGAAAGACAAAAAGCTCTTTGCCAAGTTGTCCAAGTGTGAGTTTTGGTTGAAGGAAGTTAGTTTCCTTGGCCATGTGATTTCTAGTGGAGGAATTGCTATTGATCCTTCGAAAGTTGATGTTGTGTTGCAGTGGGAGACTCCAAAGTCTGCTACTGAGATTTGAAGTTTCCTTGGGTTAGCTGGTTATTATCGCAGGTTTATAGAAGACTTTTCAAAGTTGGCATTGCCTTTGACTCAGTTGACTCGAAAGGGTCAAGCTTATGTATGAGATGTTGCTTGTGAGAAGAGTTTTGTAGAACTCAAGAAGAAGTTGACGACTGCTCCAGTGTTGATTTTGTCAAATCCGAGTGAGTCTTTTGTTGTGTATTGTGATGCATCGAAGATGGGTCTTGGAGGCGTACTGATGCAGAATGGTCAGGTGGTTGCTTATGCTTCCAGACAATTGAAGATTCATGAAAGGAATTATCCTACGCATGACTTAGAGTTGGCCGTTGTGGTGTTTGCGTTGAAGATTTGGAGACATTATCTTTTTGGGTCCAGATTCAAAGTGTTCAGTGATCACAAGAGTCTGAAGTATTTGTTTGATCAGAAGGAGTTGAACATGAGGCAGAGAAGATGGCTTAAACTTCTGAAGGACTATGATTTTGAATTGAGTTACCATCCTGGTAAGGCTAATGTTGTAGCTGATGCGTTGAGTAGGAAGTCCTTGCATATGTCGATGCTTATGGTTCAAGAGTTAGAACTGATTGAGCAGTTCATAGATATGAGTTTGGTTTGGAAAGAGACTCCTAAAAGTGTGAAGTTGGGAATGCTGAAGTTGACTAGTGGTATTCTTCAAGAGATCGGAAAAGGTCAGAAGTCTGACTTGAATTTGGTGGATCGTCTCACGTTAATCAATCAAGGTAACGGAGGTGATTTTCGGATCGATGAGAATGGTGTGATAAGGTTCCGAGATAGAGTGTGTGTTTCTGATGTGCCAGAAATCAAGAAGAGCATTCTTGAAGAAGGTCACAAAAGCGGGTTGAGTATTCATCCTGGTGCCACAAAGATGTATCAAGACTTGAAGAAGTTGTTTTGGTGGCCGAGTATGAAGAAGGAAATTGCAGAATTTGTCTATGCTTGTTTGACTTGTCAGAAGTCGAAGATTGAACATCAGAGACCGTCGGGTCTGATGCAACCGTTGAGTATTCCAGAATGTAAATGGGATAGCATTTATATGGATTTTGGGACAAGTTTGCCAAAGACTTTGAAGGGATATGATTCGATTTGGGTGATTGTTGATAGATTGACCAAATCAGTTCATTTTATACCGATGAGGGCCAATTATTCGTTGCAGAAGCTTGCCGAGTTGTATATTGAGCAGATTGTGAAGTTGCATGGTGTTCCGTCGAGTATTGTGTCTGATAGAGATCCAAGATTTACATCGAGGTTTTGGGAGAGTTTGCAGACAGCTTTGGGTACTAAGTTGAGGTTGAGTTCTGCCTATCATCCACATACGGATGGACAGAAAGAGAGAATTATCCAGTCTTTAGAGGATTTTCTTAGAGCTTTTGTGTTGGATCAAGGTGGATCATGGGATAGTCATTTTTCGTTTATTGAGTTTACCTATAATAACAGTTATCATTCTAGTATCGGAATGGCCCCGTACGAGGCTTTGTATGGTAGGAGGTGTAGGACTCCATTGTGTTGGTATGAGTCGGGCGAGAGTGTTGTACTCGGACCTGAGATTATGCAGGAGACGACTAAAAAGATCAAGATGATCCAAGAAAAGATGAAAGCGTCGCAGAGTCGTCAGAAAAGCTATCATGATAAGAGGAGGAAAGCACTTGAATTCCAAGAGGAAGATCACGTGTTTTTGATAGTTACGCCGGTAACTGGTGTTGGTCGAGCTTTGAAGTCTCGAAAGCTCACATCGCGTTTTGTTGGTCCGTATCAGATTTTGCAGAGGGTGAGAGAAATAACATATCGGATTGCTTTACCGCCGTCACTTACGAATTTACATGATGTGTTTCATGTATCCCAGTTGAGGAAGTACATTCCAGATCTGTTGCATGTGATTCAGATGGATGATGTATAAGTGAGATATGATTTGACTGTTGAGGCGTTGCCTGTTCAGATTGACGAACGAGGAGTGAAGCAACTGCGAGGTAAAGAGATTGCCTTAGTGAAGGTATTGTGGGGAGCACCAGCTGGAGAAAATTCTTAAGGTAATTTTTATATATTTTTTTATTATCGATTAAATATTTTTATATAATTTTAGGGGTTTTGGGTGTTACAATAAGAACATAGATCGACATTCTCCTTCTTTTTAATGATGACAACACATTAGGGAGGTGGTAAAAAATATAGCATATATTTGTTTGGAGTGATTAAACTTCCTCTTAATTAACTATGGAATACACTATACTCCCCCTGAGAGTATACTTCTCTCCCCCCTTTCGTCGAAATAAAAAAGGTAGATAAATTATGAAGTAAAAGATGCAAACATAAGCACATAGATGCACATATATCACATGTAGGCATTATTGTCTATGCATAATTGATTTAAAATTCCTAATTCAATTCTTATGAAAAGAAGTTTTCTTTAGGAAAGGGTTTGGTAAAAATATCTGCGAGTTTATTAGATGAGTTTATAAAATCAAGTACTCATTCCTGTTTTTCAACATGGTGTCTAATAAAGTGGTGCCTAGAGTCAATATGTTTATCCAAATAGTGAAGTATCGGGTTTTTTTGGGAGGTTTATGGCACTAGTGTTGCCACATCTTATTGTGATAGCTCCAAATTTGACAACGTTGTCATTGAGCTATTGTTGCATCCAAATCAGTTGAGCGCAACAACTTCCCATGACAATGTATTTTGCCTCAGCTATGGATAATGTGACACTTACTTGTTTCTTACTATGCCATGAGACAAGCGTGTTCCTAAGTAAGTGACACATAGCGTTGGTACTTTTGGTATCCAATTTGCACCCAACAAAAATGAAGTCGGAGTACCCAACTAATTCATAGTCTGCTCCCTTCAGGTACCCTAAACCCATTTGTTGTGTACTAGATAGATATCTCATAATGCATTTGACAACAATGAGATGTGATTCTTTTAGGGATACTAAAAATCATGCACACACACATACATTAAACATTAAGTTAGATTGAGATGTAGTTAGATAAAGAAGAGAACTTGTCATACATCAACATTTTCTCTCTTTAACTAGTTTTTCGTCTTCATCTTTGTCTAGGTAGCATGAGGTTGACATTGGGGTTGCTATTACTTTAGACTTCTCCATATCAAATTTTATCAAAATATCCTTACAATAATTATCTTGGTTTATAAATATTTCCATTTTAGTTTGATGGATTTGAAGTCATGAAAAGTATTTTCGCTCTCCTATCATTGACATTTCGAACTCATTCTGAATAATTTAGAAAGTTCCTTGCACAAGGATTTGTTAGTATCACCGAAGATAACATCATCAACGTAGATTTAAACTAATAGAATACCATGTTCAATTTTCTTGATTAATAGGTTTTTATCAACCTTTCGTCTCTGGAACTTGTTTTCAAGTAAGAACTTACTTAATTGGACATACCATGCTCTAGGAGCTTGTTTCAAACCATATATTTTCTTCTTATGTTTGAAGACATTGTCTGCAAAAGTTGGGTTTATAAACCTACAAGTTAATCAAAAAATACCTTCTCTTGAAATTCATGATGCAAGAGAAAGGTAATAACATCATTATAGATTCTAATCTAGCTATAAGAACATAGCTTTCATTGAAATTGATTCCCTCCTGTTGATTATATCCTTTCGCAACATGTTTGGATTTATTTCTTAAGACATTTCTACCTTCATGTAACGTGTTGCAAAAGACCCATCGAGTTCCGATTACTATATTAGATGAAGCTTTGGGAAATAGTGCCCAAACATTGTTTCTTGTGAATTGATTTAGCTCTTCTTGCATAGAAAGAGACCAATGGTCATCGACTATAGCTTCACTGATTTCCATTGGATCAATTTGTGAAAGAAAATCCACAAAGTTACATATCTTGTTGAAAGATAGTGGAGTGGTCACTCCCTTGGATATATCTCCAATAACATTCTAAATATGATGATCTCTTGTCAGTCTCATTTCGTTTACGAGATCTGGATGTTCTTGTGACTTGATTTTACTTTTCCTTTTGATTTGGCTCTTGATTGTCTTCAAGATTTTTCTTTTCTAAGAT